TGATCTCTAATTGTCACCAATTAACCTTTTCATTAGGCTACTTCTGAATGATTCTCCATATCATAGCTCTTTCATGCTAGTTTCGTATTTCTTGATAAAACATGTATCCTCATGTATTGAACAATTGGCCTATGGCTTCTCTTGATGATGACATAATTAGAAGAGGGTTTTGTGAAGCTCATGAGTCAATTGCAACTAGACGACAATAGAAAACCTGGAAGCAATCAATGGCTGTCTCGCCCAAGTATGGGACTCCTCACGACATTCGAAACAAGAACATTTCAGTCCCGCGCACGAACGCTTAACATCTTGACCACTTAGCCGGCTTGTATCCAATGGTGTTAATGTCTAACTTCAACCAATTGCGCCACCGTCTACCAATGTCTTCAATGAGTTACTATCTCACAACAGACCTGGTTGATTTCCACTGGCCATTGCTTCTCACTAGAACTCCATGAAATCCATCTTGAAGCCAATCACTAGTGTACAAATGATAATTATTATCAGAAAAGAGTTCTAACCTTGCGGGTGGTATCGTGGTTGAGCACTGCTTAGGAACTCCATACTAGGACGAAAAGCAATCCAGTGCTTCCAGGTTTTCCATGGTGGTCTAACTTGAACTGACTGATGAATTCAACTATTAGGTAACAAAATCTTTAGGTTATTTAGCTAAATCACAATAGTTTGTATCGTTAATTTCAATTAATTAGTGATCTAATACCGGTGAAACAGTTGAAATGTATGCTATTCAAGTAATATACACTCTTAAAGCAGCTAATACTTTGAATATAAACCAAAAATATAATAAATGTAATGTTAAGGCTTGCACAAAAATCTCAATAACAAATCAACATAAATCATTCACCTATTCAACAAACAAAACAATACCTTTTCCTAACCACGAAGGGAGGTGTTCACTAACTCTTTGGTTCAGTTACCTGGTGGTGAGCCCAATATAGCTTACTCCACAGTCATGTAATGGACAGAAACAAGTCATTTAAAGTTATTTATCGTATTCCCACTAGTTTCCTTTATGATGTTCGATCTCGTCTCTTACATATAGCAAAATAAGACAATACCTAAAAGTACTAGGCATAATAGACTTACAAGACTATTGTGAATGACTTCATCCTATCATTATTACTATTATTATTATTCACTTGGTATTGTTTCACTTGAATCTTCCTGTTGATGTTTTAGGGCTGAAATTGATCAGTCTCTTATTGGCATATGTGCATACTGTGCGTATGCCTCGAAATCGCCATAATTTACAAGCATTATAAGCAACGATGAATAGTGGCTAGCATATATGCCAATAAGAGACTGATCAATTTCAGTCCTAAAACATCAATGAGACGATTCAAGTAAAACAATACCAAATGAATTAAACTTCACCCCATTGCACAAGCAAGCGGCTATCAGGACTCAGTAGCTAAGTGGATAACGCGATGGCGTTTGAAGCAAATGGTACTGGGTGCGAGTCCCAGAGTGAACATCGACTCTGAGATGCAGGTACATCCAGCTGACGAGTCCCAAATGGGACGAAACGCGCGTCCTGGATTCCACTGCTAGCCACTATCCATATTTGCCTATTATCATTATTATTATTATTATTATTATTATTATTATTATTATTATTATTATTATTATTTTATTATTATTATTATGACAGGGTCTTTTTTAGTAGAAATCATTCAATTGAACTACTAACTTTGATTGTCCATTCCAAGCCAATGTATAACATGAAATTTTATCATAAAATTATTGACAAAAATGACAAAATTTTATCCTGGAAATATAGAAATATAATCAGTAAAATATTTTCATTGTTTAAACAAGAATTAATCAGCACCACCACCATCATCATCAGCGGCAGCAGCATCATTATCAACATCAGCATCAGCATCGTCACTATTTACAACATGTCCGAACTTGAATTTATAATAAACAAACAAATTATGGCTTATTATTACTATTACTATTATTATCATTACTATTACTATTGTTACTAATGTTATTACTGTCATTATTATCATTATCATTATCACTACTATTACTATTACCAATATTATTATTATTATTATTATTATTATTATTATCGTTAGTTTGTATATGCCAATGTGTAATTCCATGCGCTGTTCTTATCATCTGAAATATATAAGATGAAATGTTAATGGTTTTGTAGGCTAAAGAAAATAATAATAAACTAAATGACGCCATTTCTTACATCTTCACAATAAGTACCGTCTTTATTGTATCATCTCTCTTTGTTAATCATCAATATAGATTGACAGTAATAACAAGTGAAAACTAGTAGTAGTAGTAGTGGTAGTAGTAGTAGTAGTAGTAGTAGTAGTAGTAGTAGTAGTAGTAGTAGTAGTAGTGGTAGTGGTTGTTGTTAGTCATTAAGTTAAGAAATCACATTTTGATAGGTCAATTCATTTATTCACAATACAAGGTAATTGTCAGTTTGTCATTCGTGATAATGATAATAATGATAATAATAACAGTAATGATATAAAAAGATAATGTTATATCTTGTGACCGCCGACTGAGAGAGCAGTGACTTATCGATTGGATCAAAGACGCGTAAAACACGTGTGAACAGCCTAAAGATCTGATTGGCTCTGCTTTCCGCCTAGCCCAGCCAGTTTAGTCCAGAACACAAGTCTTAGCCTCTGAGATATGAATCATTATATTTCAAACATACTGAGTTTATATATCGATCAAACAGACCACAGTGTACCAATAAAATATGAAACAACATTTGTACAAGAATTAGCCAGATGTAGCTGTGAATGTGAGAGGTAGTAATCAATATACTGGTTAGAACTCAAGAATGGTAAAACGTATAATAACAGTTTATAGGTTAAAATAAAACTCATAATAAGAGGGACATGAATATGAATAGTTTAGTTACTTGGTAATTATACAATAAAAATATACGTTTAGTATTGGTCCATAAAGGAATCCCAAGTTACCATTCATTATGTTTCTCGGGTCCCAACAGATAATGACAGTATTGGGTAAGTATATTAACCAAATATTAAGAAAGAATTAAAAAAGTGATTCCAAATAGAAAATCGGTTTCTTCAAGAAATAACTTTTTCGTTCGTGAATATTCCTTCATCATCATTTACATGCTTGAAATTTATGAGACAAATTCATTCCCAACTCTTCTATTCTTAAGGTGTTTACACGCATATGTGTGTCAATTTTTACAAATAAGTAGAATGTTTGACATACTTCTCTGAATAATGTAATAATATTAATCATGAAATACACTTGGTATTGTTTTTACTTGAATCTCCCCATTGATGTTTAGGACTGTAATTGATCAGTCTCTTATTGGTATATGTGCATTTTGCCCGTAATGCCTCTATATCGTCTTAATTCACAAGTATTATATACAAAGATGGATAGTGGCTAGCAGTGGTATTCAGGACATACGTTTTGTCCTATTTGGCTATCAGGACTAATTAGGTAAGTGGATAACGAGATGGAGTTTGAAACGAACGGTAATGGGTTCGAGTCACAGAGTGAACAACAACCTTGAGATACACGTGCATCCAGCTGTTGAATCTTGAATAGGACGAAACATGAGTCCTGGATTCCACTACTAGCCACCATCTATCTTTGCTTATAATAATAATAATCATTATTATTATTGTTAATATTCAAATTATATCATGTGAAATTGGCATGTACACAAATTGTAACTAAAATACAAAAAACAAACAAACAAACAGAAATGAAGCAACTTTCATTTTAGTCTGCTTTTAACAAAATATTTCTAGTAATCTAAAATACCCTTGTTTGACAAGAAACATTTTCATGAAACATGGGTGTCACCTTTACTTCTTCTTCTTCTTTTTTCTTGTTGTTGTTGGAAAGTATAAATAAGTTACTATCTTAATCATAATAGATGTCATATTCATTGTATAAAGGAAAACACTTAAAAGTACTTGGTAAAATAAGATTTCTTACTTGAAATTTAGAAAAGGTTGAAGTATATGAAATATAAGTAGTCAGTACAATGTTTTATTACTTTTTTCGAGGGGGGGTTGTTGTTGTAGCAATTCTTGAATGTTTATAGTTTTGTAGACTAAATCAATGTATGACTGTTTCACTCTAGTGAGGTAATCCGGCAAATTATTTCAGAAGTTCTTGTAAAAAGTCATTATTAGTTAAGCTTGGCTATATCAAGCGTCAGAAAGATATCATTAATGATAATGAAAGATGGCAATGTTAATTTACAAATTGATTTAGGTTAGACACGTACATGATTATTGGTTTCGAAAAATAAGCGCTTTTAGAGAGATCTACAGTTTATCAATACGATCTATGATGAAGTAGTGAACAGTCACGGATGATCAGTACGATAGTAGGCTAAACAGTTAACCAAGCTATCCTGATTTCCAAGATATATTGAAGAAATGTATTAAATCCTAGATAGTATTTTTCTCAATCAGCTATATGATATCATTACAATTCGATTAATAATAAACATTTTCACAGGTTAAAATCATGATTCAATTGAAGCTAGACAACCATAGAAAACCTGGAAGCACTGGATGGCCGTTTCGTCCTAGTATGGGACTCCTTAGCAGTGCTCATTCACGAACCCGCTTTCTGCGGGACCCGAACCCAGGACCTACTGGCTTCGCGCGCGAGCACTCAACCATTAGACCACTGAACCGGCATCCAACGGTGTTAATGTCTAACTCCTGAAATCTCCACAAAACTCATTCTGATAATAAACATTTTATTAAAAAGGCATGCATATGGGTAAAATTGACATGAATAATTGGGTTATTGAAACTAGTGTAAAGCAAATGAAGTTACCTCCCAAGGTTCGGTTAGTTTCAATGTGAGGAATGAAAAAAAAACAATAAACAGAATAACTCTCCAATACTCCTTTACTTTAAATCTTTCTCTCGCTGATTTTATTTCGTAATATATTGATTTTTAATTGCACAATTCTTTATTATTTATTCTAGGAATTTATCGATTTATCATGGAACATTTTCCATATTATCGTGATAATCGTCAAGGTTGGCAAAATTCCATAAGACATAATCTTAGTTTAAATGATTGTTTTATTAAATTACCACGTGATAAAAGTCGACCAGGAAAAGGGAATTATTGGACATTGTCTACGAATGCCGATGAAATGTTTGAACATGGAAATTATCGGTAAGAATAATATTGATGATAATAATGATTAATTCTTATATTGATCAGTGTTAATATTGTACCACTGAATGTTAACCAAGTGGTTTATGACTTGAAGTTCGTGGAATCTTTTTATGATGGAGGAGGAGAGGACATATATTCACTACCGATGAGCTTTATACTAAGAATGAACAGCAATCAAACGATTTGTTGATTTGTAATAGTGTATCGAGTGAAATGAGTTTGTGATGAATACAACTTCCTCTTTTTTTTGATAATTAAATTGCGCTTTTCATCATCGGTCAATTTATGCGTAGATTATTGTTCGTTTCATGTTCTTCAATTCATTCACTTATTTGTTTGCTTACTTACTTACTGTTACCAACCAACTCTGTCCTGGACTATCCTTAGTAGTTGCTCCCATGTGTTGTTTATCGACTGAATGTCCTCCTTTAATTCTCTGTGTAATGTGTTCTTTGTTCTTTCTCTTCTCTTTTTGCCTTGAGAGGTTAAAGTTAAGGGTTGGGTCGTGATGCATTATGATGATTTTCTCGGTGTCTGTCGTATCCACCTTCAAGGTCATTTCCTAATTGCCCCGTAGATAACAGCTGGCTTGTCTTCTGGTAGAGTAGATTATCTTTGATAGTCTTTAGCCAATGACTTTGGAGTATCTTTCGCAGACAACTATTTCAGATATTCTTCATTTGCAGGAATACACCCCTTGCTCTATCAATCCTTGCCTTCCAAAATGCATCAGATCCTCCTCGTCTATTTGTGATGCCGAACACGTATGCAAACGCATCCTCCTCTTTCACAGATTCACCATCAATTATGAGTTATTTTCTAATCGATGTGTTGCATTCTAGGATCCTACTCTCTCTCTCCCTTCTTAGTATTGAAGTCTACTGTTGTAGAAGCTGCAGCTATATTGGTTATCTTCAAACTCCATCAAAATCATCCACTTGAGCTACAAATCTTCTTCACCATCTCAAAATCATATAATCCTAGTCCGCTTAAAGGCAGGCTTCCATTCGAGAACAACTGTGTTTTCTCCACGAGTGTCTTCGTCAGCATGTTCTACCAACAAGTGTAAGATACAGACCTCTAATCAACTGCCCAATGTGATGGAGAATAACTGAGTAAACGTTGATCAATAGTCCTTATTGTATGTTCTTTTCTTTAGATTGTATGATTCTCATGACTTCCTGTAACAAGTACCAATGAATATATCAATGACATTAGTTTAGTATGTGAGAGTATAAAATAGTTTCATATGTATATACCTTTTTCTTTTTAACAAGAAATCGTTTTTTTTTATAGACGCCGAAAACGACGTACAAAATCTTCTACATTCATTACACCATCCTCTTCGTCATCATCATCATCATCACCACCACCACTCTTATCATCATCAACAGGGTCAAATTTGTCAACGTCAGTATATACGGCAACAACATCAGACAATGCATCATTATCATCGATATCGAAACTAGCAAAATTTATGAAATTATCTAATGAATCTCAAATACCAACAGAATCCGATATTTATTCGTCTACTTCGTCGTTTTCTTCCTCTTCTCCTTCATCTTCTTGTTCCATATCATCATTCACTTCCGCATCTGTCTCTTCTACCTCCTCCTCCGCTCCTTCTTCTTCTTCTTCTTCTTCTATTTCATTTTCATCATCAAGAGAATCTTATTCATCAAAAATTATAAATGATCCAAGTATACAACATTCATCATTGTCTCAATGTTTCTATACACCACAGATGTATAAATCATCGTCATCATCAGTCAATATAATAGACGATTGTATATATTCTAAACATCGTTATTATTTAGATAATCCTTCGACAAATCCATTTTTACATAATAAATTCAATATAAATGATCAACATTCAACATTATGGCCTACTCATCATAATAATATACATGATTGTGAACATCAACAATTCACAATGCAGAACAATAATAATAATAATACTCCATTAAATATGGATTTATATACAACTAGTTTCAATGATAATCATATAATGAATCAAAATAAATTATTATCCAATAGAAATCAATTCGTCACTGAATATTATTCATCGACGACAACAGCGTCATCATCATCATCATCATCATCGTCGTCGTCGTCATCATCATCAACATTATCATCACCATTCAACAACTGTTTACATTCATCTACATCTAATAATAATGATAATAATACTAGTAATAGTAATGGTAATAATAATCATAATAATCTCATCAATTGTCTGCCAAATTTTTCCATTCAATCAATAATTGGCAGTAATACTGTAGATAAACAAAGTATACAGTTAAATGTTCAATAATGAAAAGAAAAATCATTCAAAACTCGAACATACAAATACTACTATTAATACTACTGATAATAATACTTTAAATGTTACTATTGTTCTTTATTTTTTTCTTTCTATCATTGTTATTGTTAATTAACCTAGTTGTTTTAATGTTTTAATATGGAATATAATAACGCCTTTTGTATTCCTTGTTTATATTTCATTCTGCTTACCTATATATGTATGTATGTAGGTAGGTAGATATTCAACCTGTGATCTATTAATGGTTTGTTCTTTAACAAAAAGAAAGAAAAGATTGAGCATCTTTCTTTCTTTTTTCTTCTTACTTCTTTTTTTGTTTCTTGACAATATTACTTGCAAAATTACAAAATAATTTGAGAAAACGTTGTAAATCTAAGATAATACATCATTTATACCTATATGTAATCATTCTTCTTCTGCTGCTGCTGCTTCTTCTTCTTCTTGATGAAAGCATTGTGTTCACTTATTCGTATGATACATTGCTTGCTTACTTACTTACGCCTGTTACTCCTCGTGGAGGAGCATAGACCATCCATCAACACTCGTCATTCAACTCTGTCACGGGGTAATCCTTTCCAGGATATATACGATTATGATATGTAGCTATTGCTTAATTGTAATAGATAGATGATGTGGTATAATGTTTCGTATAAGAATGAACCAATCACAATTTTGCAGTAATAACCTTGAAGTATTGGGCTCAACATAAAGAGGAATGACTATAGCGGGAGATTCTTAATTTTGACCTCGTACTTGGTAGCTAGCAAAAATGATAAAGGAATTATTATTTATACTGTTATAATCCATGATGGCGGACATGTTTCATTCCATCATGTTATGGACGTGTCATGTGTCGTATGGTCAGACATGATGGAAGAAAAATTACAACCCAGAAAAAGTCATGCCTTCAATAATTCTGTAATAGAAATCATCGTGAAACTACAATTTACGGACGGCCTTTGAGCGACGTTGAAGTGACCTTGAGAGTGGACATCTATTGATTAGGACTAAATGAGGGTTATAAAGCAGTTACAATTCTCATTTACACTTGATGGTTAAGGTTAAAAATTATATTTAGGGTTTTCGTCACTAAATGACATCAGCTATAGTACCAAAACTCTGTTTAGCCAAATGTATGGATGAATTTCGCGCCAAAATTCGTGACTCGTTACCTTATATCTCATTGGTTACAGTCTCGTCGAAATTATTCCAAAATATCTTTAACTGGGTGAATAAATAGACGAAAACACCGCCGTAATTACTGACTATGATACATTTAGATGATTTGACAAAGTGGAGCATATCCCCAGTGGAAGCGGGTTATCGATTTCAGGCTATGTGTTTCTAGTTTTGATTTCCAGGTCGTTTTTATCTAAGTCTTGTATTATTCCTGACTGTTGTCGATTACTTTCTTTATTAAATGTATATGCATTTGCTAGGTCGTCGGTACACATTTTCTTTTGTACCTCTTTTTTCAAGCTCTCCTCACTTACGTTACTCTGTAAACTTCTTTAGTATACAAAGTACTTTCTAGCTAGATACGAACCACTACAATGACTTACACATTTTTTCCTTCGCTTATAATAAGCTCGCGAGAACACTTACAAAAAGCACAGCTTTATTCATTAGCATATATTTTGTATACAGTAAGGAATCCCTACGTCATTTATGCAAAGTAACAATAAATCTATCTTCAAACTACATTCGAATTGTAATTAGCCAACAATCATGCACTCATTAATGCTTTTCAATAGTAATCATTTTCAATGACGAGTCTTGTCAAAGGGTATACAAGGAACACAGTGTATGAACTGCTTCTCTTTGAGATTTCCATTATTTAGCATCATGATAGATTGTAAGCCATTCAGAATATCACGCGAGTTTAAAACGGGAATATTGAATACAATATTTGTACAGTTGGAAATTACATGAGAACATTTGATCAAGTCATCGTGTCTCATTATACTCTCTTGCTCTTTGTCAAAAAAAGACGAGAGTAGAAAATAACGCTCTATGAATCAATGAAATTTAGTTACAAAATACCAGAAGGGGTTTTTGTGGATACTATAGTAAATTTAATGGTTGAAATCATAAGTCGATTGAAGGTAGACCACCTTGGAAAACCTGAAAGCAAACAAAAATGACAATCTTGAATTGTATGATCCATCCACGGAGTTGGATAATAACACCACTGAATACCGTTCGACTCAATGTTCTAGAGGTTTAACGTTCGCGCGCAAGACTAATAGGTCTTGAGTCTGAATCCCGCAGACAAGATCGTAGCTGAGCACTGTTAGGGAGTCCCACACTCGGATGAAATAGCCGTCCAGTGGTCTAGCATTAATCGACTCATGAATTCAACTATTGAATAGAACAATTGTTATCTTTGATTGACTAAAGGATTTATTCATTTATTTGGCTCACCAGTTGAACTTTTCTTTGTGTCTACAAGAAAATTTACTCTTTAAGTATTAAAATGATCAAATTGTATTAGATAGTTAGGATTGTATTATACCGATCTAAATTGAATAATCATTGAAAATCTGGAAGCATTAAACGGTCATTCCTTCCACATATTAAATTTTCCAGTAATTCATATCAACGACCTCGAGTGTGAACTTTTAACCTCTAAGCTACGGAGTAGTGACACAAAGGTTTTCAAAGCTAAAGTTCTTAAATTCATTCCTTTATTTAGGTAGAATGCCTTTACACATTTATGTCTCAAGGTAAACTTTAGGCAAGTTTTTATTGTATCAACCACTTTCAGTCATTTTCCGATCATTTATTAGATAACTTCTTCATATTAGAGTGTTATTCTAAACGCTAATCTTTACTACATTCGTTTTGTTTTTCATATCTTTTATGTTATAAGACTCTCTTCATACTAGATAGTTGAAGAAAACTCCAGGCATTTGAAATGAAATCTATATTAAACAATATATATAACTAAAATTATGGAAAACTACATCTTGTTCAACATTATTTCTGTCTTTCAAAACTAAATACCTATTTCAATGGTTGAGATCATGAGTCAATTGAAGCTAGACCACCATGGAAAACCTGGAAGCATTAGACGACTATTTCGTCTTATTATGGGACTTCCCAGTGCTTTTAAATTTTCCACAGTGATCTAGCTTTAATTGATTCATAATCTCAACCATTGAAATGACAACAATATCCACAATACCCCTTTCTAATATGAATACCTATTGTAGAGAAAAAAAAGAAGAAAAGAAAACAAATAAATTTAAGAAACAATTCTCATAAGTATAAACATCAGGAAAATGTTTGTACATGTGTAACTTGTATATGGGCAGTCCCTATATGATCTGGGTTATTTTTATCTCTTTTTTTTGCTTTTTACTTCTCTATATCATTATCATTATAATAACCAATGTAACTATGATTTTATTGAGGTGGGGGTGGGGATGGGGTGGGGTGGGGTGGGGTGGTAAAATAAGGATAAATGATTTATTACATTATACCCAATATGAAGGGTAACCAATTATTTTCCTCAGACATAATGGGGTTTTTAATAAATAATAATAATAATAAAATAATAATAATAATAAATACATAGACAATAATAGTAATAATATTCATAGGAACTACCTTCAAGTTTTGTATTCAGTCGTCAATTTAGGTGTAAATTTATGCATTCAGTAGTTGATCATTTAGTTGTGTTGTTTGTATGTTCTAATGTAAATAAATAAGTAAATAGATCAACTATATATAAATACATGGATATTTACATAGATTATAATAGAGTATATATATATTGTTATAACATATGGAGACATGTAAATGGGAACCAATTTTAAAGGGGGGTGGGTGGGGACTAGAAAATGTATGTTTGTTTTCTTGGTTTTTTTTTGTTTTGTCTTTTTTTGCGACAATTATGATAAATATTATTGATTTATGTGTATCTATTCAAGTAAAAATAAATGATAACTCATAAATCTCTAAGTAAACAACAACAAAAAAAAGAAGAAGAAAAAAACAAAGAAAGAAAGAAACTCATTTTGAGAGGGGGAGGTTAGATAGAAGATGAATGAAGGTGAATGTTTGAAAATGTAAGTCAAATCTTGATTCAGACATTTGAAATTAGTATCATAAGATCAGTTTTGAACAAGTGTTTGATCCTAGTTTTAAAGGGAATGTTCAGCAGTATACACTCATTGACCTTAAATGCAATGGTACGGCTGAGAGTGAAGGAGAGTCATCTTTCCATCTTGAAATGCTTCCACATGACCAAGTGCATAAAACTACTGTCAAGGAAGTCTTACTAACTGACTTCTGATGGCATTACTGATGTTTATGAAATTGAGAGGATAAAAAACAAATGTCCGATGCTTTTACCAGGTTGGTGGATATGGAGAGTTCATCTAGGACAGTTAGAAAACCCTGATTACAAATCCAGTATCCTGAAGGAACAAATGGCGTACGAAATAATCGTTGGTCACCGTCTACCATGGAACTGCATCTCCCAACGTTTCTCCACTACGTTGTGGATCAGACATTCAGGTCAAAGGCTCTGGGTGTGGTCCCCTAAGAAAACCATCTGCTTCATTCTGGGCACCCGGGCAGTATCCCAGCCCTCACACAAACCGAATGATTTATGTGGCGCATATCTAATTGGTGCCTCATTGTACTAATGTTTATGTGTTTAAATAAACATTGTCATCGATATGAATTATACCTAGAGATATAAAAGCAATCGTATTACCACTTAAATCTTACACCTGTTACTTCTCGTGGAAGAGCATTCACCGTCAACCAACATTCTCCATTCAATTCTTTCCTGGACAATCCATTCCAATTGTTTCCAATTGCTATTCATTCTTTTAGTGTTAGCTTCCAATTCCCGACTCATTATGTTCCTTGATCTTCCTCTTTTCCATTTCCTTTGAGAATTCCAAGTTGATGCTTACCTCATGGTGCAGTGTAGTAGTCTTTGCAATGTATGTC